AACTTGTGTTGCTTTTAAGGAGATAATGTGAAATACAAACTACAGAAAGGATTCTGTGTAGTACGATTTCAAAGATACCTTCGCTTCTCGGAAGTCCTTGTTGGGCATCCCCGTATATCGATCAAGAGTGTGATGACTAGTCAGTGCCTTTCACGGACCTGAAAGATACATGAGACGCCGTAGATGAGCTTTGCCAATTAAATCTTTGAATCTTAAAACCGCTCAGATGAGCAGATCACAAAAACTATCCGTTGCCGGTCAGTTCGCGGTCATCAACTTCAGAAGAAGTTCTTCACGCTCGTGGCCTGCTCTTACCCCTTTCACCGCAGTCAACTTGTGTTGCTTTTAAGGAGATAATGTGAAATACAAACTACAGAAAGGATTCTAAGAGACAGCCTGAAAGATACATGAGACGCCGTAGATGAGCTTTGCCAATTAAATCTTTGAATCTTAAAACCGCTCAGATGAGCAGATCACAAAAACTATCCGTTGCCGGGCAGTTCGCGGTCATCAACTTCAGAAGAAGTTCTTCACGCTCGTGGCCTGCTCTTACCCCTTTCACCGCAGTCAACTTGTGTTGCTTTTAAGGAGATAATGTGAAATACAAACTACAGAAAGGATTCTAAGAGACAGCCTGAAAGATACATGAGACGCCGTAGATGAGCTTTGCCAATTAAATCTTTGAATCTTAAAACCGCTCAGATGAGCAGATCACAAAAACTATCCGTTGCCGGGCAGTTCGCGGTCATCAACTTCAGAAGAAGTTCTTCACGCTCGTGGCCTGCTCTTACCCCTTTCACCGCAGTCAACTTGTGTTGCTTTTAAGGAGATAATGTGAAATACAAACTACAGAAAGGATTCTAAGAGACAGCCTGAAAGATACATGAGACGCCGTAGATGAGCTTTGCCAATTAAATCTTTGAATCTTAAAACCGCTCAGATGAGCAGATCACAAAAACTATCCGTTGCCGGGCAGTTCGCGGTCATCAACTTCAGAAGAAGTTCTTCACGCTCGTGGCCTGCTCTTACCCCTTTCACCGCAGTCAACTTGTGTTGCTTTTAAGGAGATAATGTGAAATACAAACTACAGAAAGGATTCTAAGAGACAGCCTGAAAGATACATGAGACGCCGTAGATGAGCTTTGCCAATTAAATCTTTGAATCTTAAAACCGCTCAGATGAGCAGATCACAAAAACTATCCGTTGCCGGGCAGTTCGCGGTCATCAACTTCAGAAGAAGTTCTTCACGCTCGTGGCCTGCTCTTACCCCTTTCACCGCAGTCAACTTGTGTTGCTTTTAAGGAGATAATGTGAAATACAAACTACAGAAAGGATTCTAAGAGACAGCCTGAAAGATACATGAGACGCCGTAGATGAGCTTTGCCAATTAAATCTTTGAATCTTAAAACCGCTCAGATGAGCAGATCACAAAAACTATCCGTTGCCGGGCAGTTCGCGGTCATCAACTTCAGAAGAAGTTCTTCACGCTCGTGGCCTGCTCTTACCCCTTTCACCGCAGTCAACTTGTGTTGCTTTTAAGGAGATAATGTGAAATACAAACTACAGAAAGGATTCTAAGAGACAGCCTGAAAGATACATGAGACGCCGTAGATGAGCTTTGCCAATTAAATCTTTGAATCTTAAAACCGCTCAGATGAGCAGATCACAAAAACTATCCGTTGCCGGGCAGTTCGCGGTCATCAACTTCAGAAGAAGTTCTTCACGCTCGTGGCCTGCTCTTACCCCTTTCACCGCAGTCAACTTGTGTTGCTTTTAAGGAGATAATGTGAAATACAAACTACAGAAAGGATTCTAAGAGACAGCCTGAAAGATACATGAGACGCCGTAGATGAGCTTTGCCAATTAAATCTTTGAATCTTAAAACCGCTCAGATGAGCAGATCACAAAAACTATCCGTTGCCGGGCAGTTCGCGGTCATCAACTTCAGAAGAAGTTCTTCACGCTCGTGGCCTGCTCTTACCCCTTTCACCGCAGTCAACTTGTGTTGCTTTTAAGGAGATAATGTGAAATACAAACTACAGAAAGGATTCTAAGAGACAGCCTGAAAGATACATGAGACGCCGTAGATGAGCTTTGCCAATTAAATCTTTGAATCTTAAAACCGCTCAGATGAGCAGATCACAAAAACTATCCGTTGCCGGGCAGTTCGCGGTCATCAACTTCAGAAGAAGTTCTTCACGCTCGTGGCCTGCTCTTACCCCTTTCACCGCAGTCAACTTGTGTTGCTTTTAAGGAGATAATGTGAAATACAAACTACAGAAAGGATTCTAAGAGACAGCCTGAAAGATACATGAGACGCCGTAGATGAGCTTTGCCAATTAAATCTTTGAATCTTAAAACCGCTCAGATGAGCAGATCACAAAAACTATCCGTTGCCGGGCAGTTCGCGGTCATCAACTTCAGAAGAAGTTCTTCACGCTCGTGGCCTGCTCTTACCCCTTTCACCGCAGTCAACTTGTGTTGCTTTTAAGGAGATAATGTGAAATACAAACTACAGAAAGGATTCTAAGAGACAGCCTGAAAGATACATGAGACGCCGTAGATGAGCTTTGCCAATTAAATCTTTGAATCTTAAAACCGCTCAGATGAGCAGATCACAAAAACTATCCGTTGCCGGGCAGTTCGCGGTCATCAACTTCAGAAGAAGTTCTTCACGCTCGTGGCCTGCTCTTACCCCTTTCACCGCAGTCAACTTGTGTTGCTTTTAAGGAGATAATGTGAAATACAAACTACAGAAAGGATTCTAAGAGACAGCCTGAAAGATACATGAGACGCCGTAGATGAGCTTTGCCAATTAAATCTTTGAATCTTAAAACCGCTCAGATGAGCAGATCACAAAAACTATCCGTTGCCGGGCAGTTCGCGGTCATCAACTTCAGAAGAAGTTCTTCACGCTCGTGGCCTGCTCTTACCCCTTTCACCGCAGTCAACTTGTGTTGCTTTTAAGGAGATAATGTGAAATACAAACTACAGAAAGGATTCTGTGTAGTACGATTTCAAAGATACCTTCGTTTCTCGGAACTCCTTGTTGGGCATCCCCGTATATCGATCAAGAGTGTGTTGACTAGTCAGTGCCTTTCACGGACCTGAAAGATACATGAGACGCCGTAGATGAGCTT